AAAGTTCCCATCTTCCAACTTCTTACAGAACATGCCTGACATATACACATATATATTACATCAGAAACTCGGAGGCTTTTGGTTTGGTTTTTCAAAATTAGATCCTTTTAAAAAAGTTGTTATTATTATTATTCTAAAGAAAGCTTAGCATGGCCTTCTAGCTTCATCTCATGATGCGGCAAAAGTTCTTGYTCTACAACCTTTATTTTGCAAGGAACTACAGTAACATTTTATAGTCATTTTAGAAATAGACTGAGGACTTTGACAAGATCCCTCTTTCCAGTCACTCCATTGTCATCTTAAATTATATTGCTTTCCATTAAATAGTTCATGATTGGAAGATTCATATCAAACAGCTTAGTACCTGAAATTGTTCAGTATAAATTCAGTTTTTATGAGCTCCAAGTCTGAAATTTATTTCTGAATGAAAATGGAAACAGTGATAAAACAATTCTTACAAGTTATACTACTGTAACATAAATGCAGTACTAAAATTAAGCACAATGGCCTCACATAATCAAGTTTATTTTTTGAGCATGAATTTGAATTACTAGCTTTATCCTCATCTTAGCAGATATGCAAATGTGATTTTCCATTCATATTATGATTAGTATCAATAGACAAATTTAAAATCTAGTATTAGTTAAGTCATTTTTCACCAGAACTCATTTACAGCCACTTTGAAGGTGCATGTGAGGGTATTTTGCTGTATTAGTCAAAAACCTGTTAGTCCCTGTCATCATGAAGGGCGTAATGTATCAAAACAGTTTATTTCTTATACTGTCCATTTTCTATGGGAAAACCATGAAGTATTCTTCACGTCTTCCTACAAACAGAAGAAAGATAACAAACCTTCAGCCAGGAGGGTGACAGAGTTATACTAGAGTTGTTTACAGTCTCCTGTATTTTTAGTGCTTTAATTCACATAAAGAAGTTTGTTCTCTTATTTAATATAACTGGACATAGTGGGCTAAATTGTTACTTTAAATCTGATACCAGCCAGKGGCCCAGCACTATGCCAGGTACAGTATACAAGTGAAGGTACAGGTCCAGTAAGGCAGCCAGGTCAAAARCAACTAATTTAGAAGAGACAGACTCCCATTTCAGATTATTTTGCCCTTCCTYCTTTGATAACACCTTAGCTTTACAGAATACAGAACAGCCACTTCTTTCTCAGTTTATAATCTCTTCAAGGTTATATAAACTTTGTATAATTTCAGTAGAAATTTAATCACTGTTTTGGCTGTTGAGGCTTGGTATTGTGAAACATACCTTTGGTTGAAGACTGCTTTGACGTTAAGTCACATACTCCTTTGAACATCTAAGTGATCTACTTTTTCCCTTCTTAAACTACATTTCAAAAATCATATAACTGAGTATATTAAAAAAAACAAAAACAAAACAACAAAAAAGTTTCCCAATTCCACTAGAAATTTGACTTGTATATTATTTATTCTAATAAGGGATCTTTATTTTCTTGCTCGTCCCTTTCTTTTTCCCTATTTTTTCTTTTTGCAGTTATGAACAAACCCAATAACTCTCAAACTTTTAAGAGTTGAGCAAGATGCACCAAAACAACTTAATTTTCACTGCTGTTTAGCACAGTGGTTAATTTTCCATTAGCAYCCCCATTAATTGGTTGTATCTTACSTGCAGTTCTCCATTCAGAAAAAGCTGCCTTTGCCATTTCAACAAAATACCAAGCATAACCTTGTGCTGACATAYGCAATTAGCTCAAGGTCAGTCAAGTGGGAAATAGTGGAAAGTGACAACCAAGAGAAATTATATAAAGCTAAGGGAAGGGGCACTTTTAACTACTCATGAGTAACTTTTTTTTTCTTTTTCCATTTATTAAGTCTTGTTTCTGATGGACCAGCCTTCTTTAAACTTAAAAAACTGTCTGTCCTTCTGTCGTGGTTTAGGAATGGTACTCCCCAATTCAGTGTCCCCACTGAGACTCTTCCAAGACAAATGCCACTTGCTCACTCCCCTCACTTCCCCTTCTCCTTCMTTCTCCAGGGAGGGAGTTGAAAATTGGAAGCACAAAAGGTGAAAATCACAAGTTGAGATAAGAAGCATTTACTGGAAACAGCARTGAGATAAAACAAACAGTAACAACAACAATACTAATGACAAAAGTGTCACCTAGAGAGGGTGATTTACATACAAAATGCTCACCATGCCAAGACAATGAAAGAATGAACCCTAAGTTCACCACTGGAAAGGAAAATGTTACTCCTGGGAAGAGGCAGACGGTCCCGTTTCCCCAATCCTGGGACCCTGGCAATGAGGTAAGATGGTATCGAACAATATTTGGGACCACACAGCTCTGGGCTCCACACCCTCACAGCCACTGCAAAACATTAACCCTGTCCTTGGCCAAAACCTGGACACATTCCCATGTTTTTTAAATGTACTTTGAATTACCCATCTGTTACAACCCACAAAGAACAAATACTGCTTTCAGGGATCCCTCCAAACCTTGTGTTCAAGTGTGAAGCAGTCAGTCATTAAATAGTGATGCTACAAGTTTCCTTATGGCAGAGATGCGACACCTGGCACCTCCAACTGCCACTTCAAAACTAAAATACTTACATACTTCCTGAAGGTGCTCTGCAGAGCAGCAGCTGCCCACGAAGACTCTTGCTACATATGCCTGAATGTGTGACCATTCTAATTTTAAAAACATGTTCTAGAACTTGATACAGTGCTTTGAAGATTTCTCTGAGAACTTGACACAAAGTATAGGTAAGCATGACATTTACAAAGCACTTCTGAAAAATCAGAAATGTTAAGTGAATCATCAGKGTAGGGTGTTTCACTGCACTTTAGCCAAGTAGATCTTTTGTTAAATGCTTCCAATGGAATTCTGGCACTGAGCTAAATCTCCTAATCCGGTTGAGACAACAGAAGAATCTTGTGCCAAAATTACCAGGTCAAGATACTGCGCTGTTTATGGACCCAACTCTTGCCCACCTTCTAAGCATGTAATAAARGAGCTCTCCTTAAAGAAGTCTGTTCAGAGATGTGTATCTTCTGATGCCCACATCTAAGTTAAAATCTAAGTTTAAAGGGTCATTTCAACAACTCCAAGAATCTAGATAGGCAGCTATTCTCTTGGTGATTCACACAAAATGATCAGAGTATATATAAACACACACAGAGGAACAAAAACTCTGTGAAAACAAAAAATGAAAAATGCTTACAAATAGCATTTTGTGATCACTCTCTGATAAAGTTCAAACTGTTCAACTACCCATGACTGTAGTTTCTAAATTTACGGACTTTCAGCAGGGTCCATCAGAAAGAAAATCAGAAGTACTGTGCAGGACTACCAAACACATGTCACTGGGTAACACTAAGGACTTCTCATTGTCTACAGTTTTTGCTATAGCCCTCTGCCTTCCGTCACCAAAAGCAAAGAGAGAGAATTACTTTTAATTTTCTTACAAAACTGAGTTCATGCTGCAGAGAACAGCCTCCTCTTCTGTGGGTGTAGCAAGCCTATCAAAAAAGAGTAAGTGACATTTACATCAGTCCAGGTCTTAACTCCTATTCTAGCTAGCAGAGAGAGTTTTGGCAATCAAGCTTCAATTTTTAAGTGTAGATATGCTTGGCCCCTTTTTGGTTTAAATTAAAAAAAGGCAACAAGAGATTTCTTCCCAAAGAATAAATAGAACGCTAGATCAGGCAGCAGTCATTTATTTATTGACTTAAACAAGCAAAAGGTATCCTCGGACATAATGGCTACCACTTGAGTAATACAAATCAATGCTATTGAAGAACAGGGAACATCTTTTCTTTCACCCCTCCCATCCCAGAAGTAACAATAGAAAACACCAGGACCCCTAGAGAAAAGAGAAGGAGAAAAATCATAAAAGGTACTTAGAATGAGCTGCAGAGTTGAAACATGGACACTAAAAAAATCATTAGCTAATCTACCACATCACYACAATCACCTCAAAAACAACTTTCATTGTTCCATTCCTACCAGGTACCAAATATATAGCACTGTTTAACAGCGATTTCAATGTACTAAAAACTGTCCTCAACTGAAGCAGAACAGTAATTACTATTCATATTAAATTTGAGGCTACAAAGAAAGGTTTCCATAGACTACAGTGCACGTTAATGAGAAGAGAGAGGGGGAGAAACAAAGCTACTTTTAAATTACTGTACGTCTCTATCAATCAAGCAGTTCATTCTGTACCGATAGCTCATTGCAGACGCAATATCCTGACAGAGTATGGCAACTCAACTCACCCTGTGCCAATGTATCTAATGAATGTATCTATGAAGAATATATCTTAAATCCCTTAAATTKTAGGCCACTGAAAATCCCAGTTTGCTATTCCTGTATGGGTGGTTTTAATCAGACATCGGCAAAAAAAGCAAACACACCGCATGCAAACAACTGTTACTAACTGGTTTAGTCTTCCTTGTAACAGTCAAAGAKATGAGTAAGGCATTCCTCAGATTTAGAGAAAACATTAGGAGTCTGTAGTTTTGCAGGCAAGGAGACCTTTTATTTTAATCCATTAAAAGAACCCAAAATAGTCAGCAGGTGGCCACATCTATCCATGTTTCATTAAAATCACATAAAACCTAAGTACAAAAGCACCACTGATTATTGCTCTAGAAAAACTGCATGAAAAATTCAAATACACACAGTAAAAACATCACCATATGCACAAGACATAATTTCTTAAAGCAAGTGTATGGAATGCTGATCCAATTTTACACATACCTTGCAATATTAAGTTGATATTTATATTACTTGGCAACAATGGGAATTTCTAAAAGCACTGTTATGAGAAGGGAAATGTTCATATACAGTTTAATATGTCAACTATCATAGTCCTAAAAAAATTAGCATTTACAAAATACTTGATAAAAATATCTTTTAAAAGTTGTCCAAGAGGTACATAAAATCAACCCAAAATTTTCATGGTATTTCATTCATTCTTGTCACCTACAGATTCAGTTTTCTGAGCCTGTGGAGAAGAAAGAAAGAATTAAATTACTATAGGGAATTGGTATTACGTACCTAAATACCCAGGCTATCCTCACTCTTTTGATTTCTTACTTGCAACAGCTCAGTTCCAAACCTGTGTCCATACCACRTTACACAACCGGAACAGGCACAGTCACACACTTTTCTCAACTCATCAGCCCCAGCTTTTCAAAAGCAATACAAGCCTTACCTGTGGGCTTCCATCGTTCACACTGAAAAGCACCACACTACCACCTGTTCCTATTCACTGCACACATGCTGAATGCTCTACCGCACCCTTAACTTTCACTGTTTCAATCTGCCCTTTTACTGACAGTGTGCTGGGTGGGGCACCTCTGGATGTTGAAACACTAACAGTGGAGCGAGATGCGAATCTGCAATAACATTATGGGCAATAAAAAGAAACATTATGAACATGCTAACAATGTCTGAAAGGCTGAATAATTATAAAACACTGATTCAATCGGCAGGAGGTATGTGTGGAAAGTACCTCTTCAGCTTTATTTTCACCATTTTCAGATGGTGTAGTACCTTCCTTTGCAGCTTCTTGCTTTTCATCCTTCTTCCCTTTAGCACCTTTGCTGGCCTTTGTTCCAGGTTCCTTCTGACAGAAGATTAAAAACATGGCCATAGATGTTGTGTGAGTAGCCAGAACCCTGCATATTTATCAAAAAAACTTCCACGTGAACTAAGCAGCAAGTCTTGGCAAGCTGCATGTGCTGGATTGAAACAGAAAAACAACTGAAGGCTACCTGGAAACTGTAAATCCACATGAGTTATATAGAGAGTCAACATTTCTAGAAAATGGTGGTGTCTGCATCTCTAGTGTTTCTGCTAATTTTTTCAGGGATACAAAAACACATCAGGCTACTTTGGCAGAGCTGACCTATGAGGTACATGCAGGATATCTGTGTGAACAAATCCAATTACAGTATATTGAAAGCCTATTCAGCCAAGCACAAACACTACAYTGTGTAACTACAGCACTACACTTTCAATTAACATAAAATATTAAATTAGATTTTAAAAATTAAGCTTTTTTGTTGGCTGCCCTTTTGTTACTTTGGTAACATCTGTGATGGTCATTCCCTGTCAACGTAAGAACCAGCCAACACACTAGGGAGGCAAACACCGATAAAATTCCATCTGCAGCAACACAAAGCAGAGAATTTATCAAAAGGAACTATTCTAACAGCCAGAGTTTCATTTTGAGATTTACTCTTACTTCCTACATTGAAGTCTACTGTTTTTTATAAATCYTTTCCCTATGTACTTGTCTATGTGATCTAAAGGTTAGAAGAGACATAGGTTAAGTATTTAAAGTGCAATGGGATAAAAATTTAAATGGTATTGCATTACTATTTTACATTAGTATTTAAAGTAGCTCTGATACACACTTAATATCTTTCATGCAATCATTTGCTCCAAATTCTCCATGCAAAATGGCAGTAACAGCTGGGAAAAGGGACATTAAGRTCGGCCCTCTTTCATTACTTTCCCCACTGATCCCCACACAGGAGTGGGACAGTGAGGTGGGAGCACCTGTAACCCCAGTTCCTGAATTGGGGTTAGCCTGAACTACTCCTTTCACCCCTCAGCATCAATGGTACACAGCAGCTGTGGAGCTTAATTTGGAAGCTTACTGGTGGTATGAGCATAGTACTAACTYTTCACCTAGAAAACAGCAAACTAGGGAGCTGACTTAGTATAAAGTGCAAGCTTTTAACAATAAAAATTATCTCAAATCTGCACCATCTTTCATTGTTTATCAGCAAGTTCAGAGTATACACATGCTGTTTTTTGTGTAGGAGACCAAGATTAATATATTCCTCAAAATGTGATTCAGTTGGGGCTGGGAAAAAAAAAAAAAGACTAGTGTATTAAAAAGTTACTTAGAGTAATGTCATAAAGGATTTGAGTCACCTGAAATAAGCTTCAAATGTCTCTCATGCAACTTAGACTGAGTCTGTAACACTGTGCTCATCCCACAGAATGAAGCTGCAGAAGCTACCTTCTTTATTAATGCTCTTTTTAAGAGGGGAACAGGATGGACTCAGCAAGACTTTACTGGTAATTTTATTTGATAAATCACACAGTGTTTAAAGTCAGAGTTTTACTTTCACATGTGGACTTTGTATCCTGGCACTTGCCCAACTGAGAAGGCAATAAAAGGACTTGAAAAATGGAAGTGTGAGGAGTGCTAGACTCAGTGTCTAAAGCATGGGGGCTTTTTTTAACCAATAAAGCAATTGCTCTTATTCAACATTCTCCTTAGGCACAAATAAATCTACAGTTTCTGAAGTACATGATTTATATGCAGAAATCCTGAAAAGGTATTTCAGACACTAGTACGATTTTAATTTGACTGTAACTGGCCTAGAAAACTCAAACCATTCAATTTAAATATATTTAATTTCACCTTTAATTACAATTGTCCATTCCCAGCAACAGCCAGGCTTCAAGAACAGATAAGACTCTCTCACTACAAAATGAAGTACTGCACCTCCAGACACGGAAACAGGATGACACAGAGTAATCTCAAATGCTTTTGTAGAAATTGCTAGGTCTCAGGTAGAGTTTACTCAACCCAAGCCTGTACTTTTCAGGAAAGGTGTAGAAAAGGTAARAATTCTTCTTAAACTAGAAATTCACTACAAACTAACACGGTCTGCATATCAAACAGGCAAGACGTTTTCTTTGGGCCAGTAATGAGGCCAGGAAGGGGTGGAACAGAAAGAAAAGAATGATCTAATTTGTGGGCTTTTTCCAGGGAGGGGGGGCAGGGAGCTGCAAAGAGGGCAGGGGAGCCCATGCCTCAAAAAAATGCTATGAATGGAACTGTTTGCAACATAAAGAAGTAGTATACTTGCTTACTATTGGCTAAAATGATGGTAACTAGAAAGAAAGACTATTTACCTTCGTTGTTTTCCTTGGTTTGGGTTCAGGTTTTGGTGGAGCAGGTTTCTGTAAAACATTTTTCATTGCACAACACATTAGACACATTACCAAATGCCAGCCAGCCTCCTCCACACCCTGCTTCTCCCCCTACCCCACACCTTCTCTTACTTCCTGCTTAATAGTACACATCTAGAAAAAGTCTGAAAAACCTTAATGCACAGATGCACCTCATCTCTGTACACACCTGTTTGCATCAGGTCACTCATCTAAAACTGAAAGTAATTTGGGGGTCTACAAGTAAAACATGGAGATTAGTAGTAACTATTAAAAATTCCCCCATCAGCTATGTTCTACCAGAGAAACTAAAACCACTAGCAGTGGCATCAAATGAAGTCCTTGAAAGAGCTCCTTCTCCTTCCCAGAGAAGTAGCTTGATTTCCACAACTAACATCAGCCTGCAAAATGATACAAAGTCAATACTGCACCYAACAGACAGTAGTGCTGCACTGAAGTGGGGAAATATATCTTTTGTCWGAACAACCTGAAAACCTGAAACCAAGAAAACACAGATAACTTCATTGCTAGAGTTCTTAAATACCCCTCAGTATAAAAGAATAAAAATTGTATCAAGCAAAATGTAAAAAACCTATTTGGTCTTGAGAAACCACATGTGCTTAGAAAAGAATGTATCAAGAGGTACTATACATACTTACAGCTGACAGTCTTGCTGATCTTCTTGTGGGCTACAGGGGAAAAARAAAAGAATATTTTTATAGGCTTACAGGAAAAAGTATCGAAAGGAACACAGTATCAGTCATTTAACTGGACAGCATGAAATATGCATCAACCAAAATCTGTGTCTATTGCCAAACACAGTTCACATCTCACTCACCTCTGACACTCAAAATTTTAAAGGGACAAGGTGATGTGAAAGTTAGAAATAAAAGTTGTTCGGCAATTTTAACATCTAAATCTGCACAGTTAAATACCTCACATATCTCCCTCTTTTACAACTTCTTCTGAGCCTCTTCCTGCTCTGTGAAATGTTCACAAATCCAGTAAGCTCGATTACCTGTGCAAAGGATTCTGAATCTTTTTCAGACACACTTAGAATTATGTTTTTAGWATCTAGCAGATGTTACTTGTAATAACGGGTACAAATACCATCTGATTAACAGCTGAATAAAGTYAACATCCTTCTCTAGAGGATACGAGTGCACTAAAATTTCAAAACATAAAACTAAGTCCTTTTACTTCCTCAGTTCTTCACACGCTTCTTCTACAGCTCTCAAAGTCCAGGTGCACAAAGACAGCTGCAGGATGAGAGGGTGAAATTATTTCTTCTATTTAAACAAAAATCTCAAAAGGAAAGACTCAAGCCAGATATTCTGCTTCTCTCCAGCTTTCTTTATCACTTCAACACACTTTCCCTATTAAATTTTATTTAATCCTGCTCTTTGTCATAAAYTTATTACTGAAGTCTTAAAAATATTGTCAGCTTGTTAGTTCATTCACAATATTTCTGTATTAATTAAAACAGATTCACCCAGATACACAGCATGATTAATAAACTGAGTTAAAGTCTGGTCTGTGTCATAAAACTAGAATTACACCTGTAGCCAAAATAAAGGGAGAMCTAAACGGCAACAAATATCCAACATAACGCAGCTTAAAAGGAGATACAAAAATGCTTCTTAATTACATATTAAGCATTTAAGTTGAGCTGAAAAAATGCGGCTCCACATATCCTGCAACAGGAAAAAGCTCTTGTTAATATCTGAAGWATGCAGTAATTTGTATTCATTGGAACCATTTAAGAATTCTTAGTGGAGAGCAGTAGTGAATAGTTCAAATCTGCACCCAGCAAAACAGAAGTCAAAAAATATGCACCATTAACAGCAAAAAGGTAACTCTCTCTTTTCTTGGCAATTTAATATCAACTGCTTAATAAGCAGCCTAGCATTATTTTACAACAGGTAAAATAAAGCATTTCAGTCGGTCATATTATCTTTTACAAGCCTGCKCTCTTAATCAATTATTTCCATCCCTCAATATTTAGGAACTGAAATGTTTTGCTAGCATCTACTTTTTAAAAGATAATATATCAATTTAGATAAGTTATAATTCTCTCCCCAATTCCCAATTGTTCCTGTTCCACGACTGGTTTTATAGCAGGTTTGTTTGCCATAAGAAAGTCAGCAAAAACCATTAAGTTCTTTAAAAATACTTGACAGCAAAGTAATTTTAATTCTCTTTTGAAGTTTGTATGTATTTTGTGTTATCTGATTACAAGGAGGGAACTAGAGCCAAGCCAGCAAAGGTCACATTTTCATGTTCTTTGGGAACCTTTGCCCCTCCAAACCGCTGTACTAACCGAGAAATTAGCACCCAAGAGTCTGTTTTGACAATGGCCCACTAGCAAACACCTACAGAAAGAGTCTATGAAAAAGAGCAGACAGAATGACACTCTGCACTCTCCTACTGCACCAGCTTCTGGCAATCCAAAGCTGCCAACTTTCCAACCTGGATATCATATACACATCATGTGTTTAAATAGTCCCCAAGGGTTATTTTCTAGACAAATCTGTCTAATAACCTAGTACTCATTTATACTTTCAGTTTCCGTAACATCCTGTGTCAATGAGTTCCATAATGGGATTATGTAGTGTGTGGAAAATAAAAAGCAAACCTTCCCCCTCTGCTGTCTTCCCTTTTAACTTCTTGCCTCTTACTTTCATTAGATTTCTCTTGTATACAGCTTTCATCAAGAGTAATTCCCTAAATGCCTTTCTTTGTGCTACTAATTATTTTATCWCAACTTCATTATATAAAAGATGAAGAAACCTAGAAAAAACTGTTGTTGCATTTTTTACTTTGGGTTGTTACTGGTTTTTTTTTAAAGATGCTCCACATCCTCTGTTTGTCCCATTGTACCTGGCATCCTTTTAATTCTACCATGGCCTCTATCAGGAGAGCTTCATTTACTAGTCCCACATCTGAGAGCATAACAAATTAGTCTTGTGATACACTGATGCTTATTCTGTCCCCTAGCAGTTTTCCTATATTCTAGTTACTTTCAGTTTAGAACTACTGATACCTAGTAACTATTCACTGTTCTACAATCTCTTCCCTGATTAACAACGCATTTGATGACCAACACTGGCTCTTCCCATTCCCCTGTGTAGTAATTTGCATTTCTCCATATTGAATTTTTTTTTGTATTTTATCACTTTGTTATTTATCAGTGACATTACAGCCTTCTCAGCCTCTCTCACTTCTGACTACCCTGACAATTTTTTGTAAACTTCAGCAAAATTTGTCATTTCTTTGGTACTGCTTCTCCTAGAGAACATTAACGAATATATTCAACAGTACAAGCCCAAACACAAACCCTTCCAATACTCCACTGATAAACTCTTCTATTATGAAAATTACCCTCCACTCCTTTATGTTAGAAATTCTTAGAAAGATCTCCTATGCTAGTTAGTTTCTTTAAGAACCTGCCTGGGGAACCTTATGTAAAAGTGCTCTTTACACGTAAGTAAACTACRGAACATGCCCATAGTTTACTTCCTATTTTCCTGTTCAAATATGCTCAAAGATTTACAAGCAAAGCAATTAATTGTTAATTCATTTGAATATTCACCCATTGTTTTCAAGGTCCTGGTTTAACTTTATATGCCACAAAAGAAGGCAAACTAAGAAAACAAATTCTCATAATCCTCTACCTGTTTTTAAAATTCACATTAAGGGCTGTAAAAACAAACTAGCAAACTTTATTGTAGACATCAAGGTATAGCCAGCTGTCTTCKTGCCTTTTCTGACAGAATGTATTGTGTCCTTAAAACAAATCCAGTCAAAGAAAACACATAAATATGTCAGCTGCTTCAGTTCAGAGTCTGGAATCTTAATTCAAGACACCCTTCCATCAGTCACTTAGGCTAAGAATAGTTTTGGAGCAGACTGGCTGAGGTGTGTGAGGCATTAACCCTCTTCTGCCAACCACCAGAGACAGAGCAACAGTTTCAGGCAGTAACAYACTACACAGTAGTGCCACAATACCCACCAGAGTTTGTCTATCAAAGCCCTAAAACTTCCTCACATTTATTTGGTGTACTAATAAGATGTATAAATCCTCAGTATGCCAAGACAAACTCAAGCCAGACAGGGTACAAGTGTCGTTTATTGCCATTATTCCAACGAAAACACTTCACCAGAAGTGCCAGAGAAATGCATAATCTTCTGATACACAAGACTGCAGATCTCCAGTTAAACAATTACATGCCAAAACAAATTAAATATATACATATATACACATATATACTTGCCTCTTGTTTAGTTACTTTTGCTGCATCCTTGCCTTCAGCACCCTCTGGGGACTGAAAGAAAATATTAAATCAGTGTTTTTATTTCAGACTTAAAAGCATACAACAAAACAAAGGCAACAGCAAAACAAAGATTATGGAAGATTACTCTTTCATTTGCAACAACTTCAAGCTGCCTGACAAACTGGCATTAGTATGTACAATCAGCATTGTACTCAAACCAGTCTCTTTACCTAAACCAAGTAAGAACCCGAGGACTGAGCACCAGGTACATACATATCTTAYCACACACCATGCACCAGTGTCCCTTCAGCCAATTAACCAAAGCATCCACAGGCTCCAGTGGGAGCTCCATATAATCAGCTGTTGGTAGCACAACGGTAAGAACTGGAAATCTGGGGTTTGCTCTGTGACTGTTTTTTCAAATCCCCGAGAAATTTAACGAATTTCTTCCCAAACATGAACTTAACCTGTTATGAGCGGCAGTGAGATGAACCAAAAAATGCAGCATTACTGAAATGAATGATTTCTTTACCTCCTTTATTCCTTTTTCATCTCAGCCTCACTCAACTGGAAGTTTTAAAAGTATCCTTCCATCATATCTCATTTCCTCCATAAGAGCATAAATCAGTAAAACACTGAGTTATTGACAGCAAAGCCCAGGACAAACATGTTCCTTCTCAAGAATAAAGTATCAACCTGAACATTTTAACGCTAATCTCTCATAGGTACTAGAAAAAGGTTAGTCAAATTAAAGGGGTGGAGGGCAGGTGAAATCAAGCTTCTCTTTTGTTTACAACTCAAGATGCATTACTTCACATTTTGCAAACGACTGGGTCTCTCAGGTAGAAGCAAGAAATTCCTGGATAAAGAGTGAGCAGCAGTAGTTAGAGAACTACAAGAATGGCTTATTTCAAAAAGGCATTTAACAGCCAGCAGAGAAGGCAATTTGGTTGCTGTTTTGTTTTTCAATCATTAAGGAAGCAGGCTAGTTACCGTTTCCCTTGTCTTTCCATTTCAGTCTTAATTCAAACTTCCTCACAGATTTTGACACAAAATGTCCGGGAGTTACAGTGCTAAGGTTTGGAGCAGAGAAAATGACCGGCTAGTTTGCAGCAGTTGACCAGTGCCTTCTCCTAGCACCGGGCTCTAACACACTCACAGAGACACCCTCCCACCAGGGAATAAAACGTGGCTTTGTTACTGTGCGTTCTCCGGACGGAAAGGAAGCACGCCACAAGAGCAGCTGCTTTAAAGAAAGCCGAGGACTGATCATGTAAGTAGCTTGAAAACAGCAGGAAGTTAAACAGCATTGCACAGCGCAGAGCAACTCAGAATAGCAACAGTCAGGCATCCAAAATGGAGCCTGACTGCTCCCTGTGCAACTGCAGCCTCACCAGGCACCTGCAGGATCGTTTCAGGTTTGCATTTCTGGAAATCTTTCAGTTTGGTTACTAAGGAGTTACTACCACTTGAAGTTTGTGATGCTGTGAGCATCAGAAGTCAGAAAGAAAACAAAAACAAATCATTCCATGATTGTGGTCAGACACGAAGTCCTGTTTCCTACAACTTCCCTCTTCAGCTCAGGATACAGGGCATACTCTGGGTATAGCTTTCTGTAGTCCRTAAGTTCATAACGTCTGTTTCTCCCATATGAATTTTCTCAAATCTAACAAACTTGCCCTGCACCCTTTGCCCAACAGGGAACTCAAATAGCATCCTTCCTGTCCTGAACAGGACCTATTTATGTGGAAGTTCTCTGAAATTTTATCATTTTTTCCTCGTAGTAGTCAAGAGACTGCAGATTTACAGTGGTAGGGACAGAAAGATGGCATGATTCCCTTCCTTTGGAAGCCAAGTTAAAAAACTCATCATAAACTAAATGAAGCTGACTGACACTCCACAATCAGGCTGTTTTACCCTGCTTCACTTTAAGGAGTCACAGAGAGAGACCTAAATTATCCCAAGACTGCACTACCACATGCCAATAGCCTTGGAGTAATTGCACAAGAGCTAACTCTCCACCTGCAATACTACACAATAAACACAGAGTAATTCACCCCGTTCTCTTTAGCACTTATGAAAGTCTCCTCCATTTCTGGTACAGACAGGGCAATCTGATTTTAGATGCCAACACTACTGCTTGACAGCAGATTAAAAAAATTGCTCATGAGGCTAACCGCAGGGGGAAGAAACTGTATTAAAATACCCTTAACGYGACCACAACCTCTGTATACTAACTACTGTGATATATTACACAACATACTTCAATTRAGTTAGATAATTAATTAGCCCAGCATTCCCTCTCAAGTTAGAAAATCCAGCCGCAATTGCRAAGGCCACATAACTTTCTCCACGGAGGGACATGGAGAATAATAATAATTTCAGAGGTGCGAATAAGCAGCAAGGGGTTCTGACATGCTCTCATTTCCATTTCAGGCTCCCTCCTCCCTGCAAGTCCAGACATTTGGTGGCCGGGCTCAACCTCCCGGGCCTTGGCTCCCCACACCACTGGCAGAGCTGCGTGGGAGGCCATGGCATGAGTAAGGTAATTGATCCAGCTGAAAAATAGCCTGTTGCTTAAACAAATGCATAAATATTACAATATATAGACAAATTATAAATATATAGTCTTSCCCGCTCCAGCAGAATCATTTTACTGCACAGCTGCACAAACAATTGAGTCAGAGCAACAGACAAGAATGCAGCAGCACGGGGCAGCTGCAGGCAGCCTTGGACTCCATCTACTGCAGCTGATAGACACACCAAAACAAAACCAAAACCAAAAAAAAAACAACAAAAGAAAACAAAAAAAGAAGTCAGATATGTCTCCAGTGTATTTGTTAAAAGAGGAACAGAAACTTATTTTCCCCTCTACGAGCTCTGATGAGCTGATGTGGTTCTTCATACCAGTTTTTGCAATACTTTCCCTTCTCCCTGGGGAAAAGAGAGATTTATACACACATGGATTTGSGCCAAGCATAGTTCCCGAAGAACTTGGCATGCCACAAGCAGAGTCTGTCTGCAGTACTATCTGGAGTCACAGGACTTTTATGTAGATACCACCAAAACCTTAAAGCCTTTGTCCTTTAACTCTTCCACAGGAACCCTTCCCCCATTTTTTGTCCCAGCGACAAACTACCGAAGAACCTCTGGTTTCAAAGCAACCAAACGTACTAAGTAACCCATCCCCTTGGCACATTTTTCCCCATGATGTAATGCTATGGCTCACCATATTTCACATGACACCCCAGTCACATTAAAATGCACCCTGGATACTGCGCCTTACATCGTTAAACTAGCCAGGAGCGGAGATATCCACACTGCGAGTTTTGTGCAGCAAAATCAAAGACCAATACAAGCACTGAACCACTTGACAAGGGCAGCACTCCAGCCTCAGTAATTCTTCAGCCGTACTCCATCATATGCCTGTATTCTACTCATAAAGTAGTCCCTACAGGCATGCTGTGCCTGATACTGTATGGATGCCTACGAGAGACAAGACATAAAACAAAAAAGCAAACAAGGACACAGATAACGGTGATCTTTTTTTTCCCTCACAAAGGTACACACAAGGAAAGAAGATGACTGGCTATCTGTAAATATGCTTTTGACATTTGACATCTACTATCAAGTTTTAGGTTCAGATGACCACACGTTGTGTCAAATCTCAAACAGCAGTACATATTGGCAATAAGATGGCAAACAGCTGTAGTTAAGCTTTGCAAGATCTGTCAGAGCTGCCTAACTTTCAAACTATAAGATCGTCTAACAGCAATTGGCTTTTTTTCCCACTTGCTTTTACCCCAGCTATTTTTAAGACCAACCTAGAAAATTATTCTTGAGTGGATTGGAAAAAACAAAGGAATATTAATAGATGGTAGAGAATGCTAAAAAAACCCCAAAGGAATACTAACATTGAGTTTATTTGTACACACATCTCTTACATTTCACCAGCTGTGAAGTATACATGAGAACGAGTGTTTCCACACACCAAGGCAATACTGCAGTATCTGTAATGCCAACATCATTACAGAATGCGAGGCCAAAAACAGAAAACTAGACAACTGTTTCAAGTAAATATTTAATAAAAAATACAGGTCAATTTCCTGGTTTTACTGTTCTTAAGGCTGGGTTACTTTAGAGAGATGCACCACAAAAGAAACACAAAGCTTCTTTTTTTCTAATCAAAACCCTGAAATATAAGCAGTATATAATGACAGTACAGTAACCCAAAGCRGTGAAGTCACTGATGTCTTTTGAGAGATCTAAAGATACACATTTGAACTAACAATGTCCAGCTTCTGGATAAATATTTTCTTTGCGCTATTATGAAGAGATTTATTATAAAGGAGTACATTAAAAAGCCTGAAGAATGAGAATATAAGCACATGAGAAGTAACAGTCAGTAGAAGGTCGGTATAAAATTAAATAGATGGTTCATTCTCTGAAGGATTTTATTACAAGCTGAAACTCAACACCTTGGCTCCAATGGAACAGAAATTAGTCCTTTCATACCCACATGAAARCAAAACAAAAAAGCAGATGCAAATTTCATTCTAACTACCACATTAAGAAGACAGAAAGGCAGCAAGCCTTAACTGTCCTAGCACACGAACATTCTGAATAGCATTTCCTCCCTTCTTTGCAAGCTGTTTGCTTCAGCCACATCTTGATACACTGCCTGCAAAGGGATTTGCCCACAGGTTTCCTGGCTCAGTCTTGCAGCTGAGATTTCCATGATGTAATGCTTTTGGTCATTCCTCCTACAATTTTTTTCACCAACCAAAATAAGGTAAAAGCTTGCAAAGAAAACCACATTGCAAGAAGAGCAGGTGTATCAAGTCCTAAGTCTTKWTMRGGGTTTATTGCACTCTTTGCATAAAATTTTTCTACCCCTCATTGCCCTTTGAGTAGAATTCAGCATTAGACGAAATTTAATTCCATAAATGGTTTCCCCATACATGCTATATCTTCTAATTATTTGTCCTCAGAGCAGCTCTGAATTTTGTGCTAGTTCATAAATGTAATTAAAATGCTGTTTATTTCTTGGT